AGAGAGAGAGAGAGTGACAGAGAAAAAAGGGGCGGGTGATGTTGAGACTTATTGATAGCTGCCTGCTTGTTATTTTTTGGTTTTGTTTGTTTGTTTGTTTTCTGTTGCATTTCCGTCTTTAAAAAAAACCAAAACAACAACAACAACACCCAAAAAAAAAAAAAAAAAAAAAAAAAAAAGAATAAACTCACAAAATCAGTCACTGCTGGAGGTTTGTTATTTTTGCCTTGTCCTTCTCGGAATTTATCCTTTTATCTCAGAGTCCGGGTTTGTCGAGATTTACATTGCATCTTGTTCGGCGTTTATCATTTTGTTTTCAAACACCATTCGCGTAGTGAAGTATTCATTCTTCTTTGTGGTACCCAAGAAGAGACGCTTCCGTTTATGGGACGCTCGTTCGATTTCCATGATTGTGTTTAAGTCTATTTAATTGAGTACAGTATCTCCAATTTCCAAATGTTGTGCTCTGCTTCGCTAAACCTCTTCACTACCTCACAATTACAAAGTTCTATCTGGCATGTTTGGCCGTTGTGGGTTACTAGGAACAGGAGGTCAGAAACCAAATGCTCTATCTGCTCTATCAAAATTGTAAAATTACTGGGAGTCGTTATCAATACATTTAAAGAAGTCAGTGCATTCGAAAAATCTTGACATGTTGTTAGACTCAAAATTTGTTAACGTCAAATTTCCCCAAAAGTAGGTACTGAGCAGATAGAACTTTGTACTTCTGAAGTAGCGTCGTGTTAGTTGGCACTAACAGATATGGTCGAAAAAGCCACGGTTCAAGATGGGGGTTTATTATCATTCCCAGGATAGACGTTTTCAAACACTCTAACCTTTTTTATTGTTTAGGCCAGGTAACATCGATTCGTGTCAGCCAATCCCACACCAGTAGCCCACTCCCTGGTAAAAACTATATCCGTATTAAAAATGAGGACTTCAGACTCTCATAATATTATTATGATATAAATCATTCGTTTTGTCCTGAAGATTTCAGTATTTTTATAGCAGTGGAACTTGGAATGTGTGTGTGTGTGTGTGTGTGTGTGTGTGTGTGTGTGTGTGTGTGTGTGTGTGTGTGTGTGTGTGTGTGAGAGAGAGAGAGAGAGAGAGAGAGAGAGAGAGAGAGAGAGAGAGAGAGAGAGAGAGAGAGAGAGAGAGAGTGGGGGTGGGTGGTGGTGGTTAGTGAAGAGATTGTGACTTATTGCTTCTTCCTGCCTGTGTATATAAAATTTTCAATATCGAAAAGAACAAACGTGTATGAACAATCGACATCTAATCAGCTTAGCCCGATATTATAATCGCTTTGTTTGCAACACAAGAAAATAAAAAAGCTAAAAAACTTTTTTCTCAGTGTATGTTTTTTAATCGTAGGGATGGGCTTTTGGCTCTTTGCTGTCTTGAGGAATCAGTTTCCAGTCACAGCTGGTTCTTGTCCTTCTAGGAATGAATTTGTCCTTTTTATCTTTGTATCCGGGTTTGTCGTGATTTACACCGTATCTAGTACGACGTTTGCGGTTATGTTTCCAAGCCCATTTTATGTAGTAAAGTATTAGTTCCTCGCTGAGGTACGCAAAAGACACGAGTTCGATTCCTACTTGTCGAAGTCTATTCTATTGAGTATCTCAACTTTTGTACAGTGATGCTCTTTCCCATCCAACACATGTGTTGGCACTGACAAGCATGGTGGAAGACGCCTGGCATAAAAAGGGGGGGGGGGGGGGGGGGGGGGGGGGGGAACCCCCCCTAAGTCCCGATTCGGCTCCAAATTATGGAATTTGAGTTGTAGGCTTTTTTATAGCTTCCTCGGCCTCTCCTGCAACTATTTCATCCTAAAAGAACCCCCCAAAAGCTTTATAAGTTATTTCTCCACATACCGGGCACCTTTGTTACCAACATTTCCTCATAAAGTCAATATTTTATTTTTCTTTACCGACCGTTTCCTCAAAACGCGATTTTCCTCCATACTTTTTAAGATAACTCCACCATTTTTCATTCAATCTTCATGAAATTTTCACAAACGGAAGAGAAGATGTAATACTAAATATTCGGTGTTTGAACTTTTGATATATGGAATAGATTTTTGGTGGTGGTGTCCGTAGTGTGGATTTTTACGGATTTTTCGCAAATTTCAATGCTACCTCAGGAAAAAATTTATTAAAAATGTTCTAATTCGGTTAGGAGAAAAAGCCACACAAATTTGTAGATCTAATGTTTACTAACATACATGCACCCCCTCCCCTCCCCCCAAAAAAACAACTCCCCCCCCCAAAAAAAAGAACCTATCAATTTCCATGCAAAATAAGTGCGGTATTCATTACGCAAGACATATCAACAAAATCCAATATGGGCGCCGTATCCATGGAAACGAAACTTTTTTTTTCTCAAATTCGATTACAGGTTTGAAGGCTCCTTACTATGCTTTGGTCCTCTAATAAGCGAGATAGCCTTCAGGTATACCCCCCCCCTACCCTCTTAAAATGACGTGAACTGTGTCAGCGGGGTATTATATCACTCATCATCTGCCGCTTCCAAACTCTCCAACTCTATTTGTATTAGCAAGAAGCGCCTAGTTTTAAACATTCTTTTCTTTGCCTTTTGAGATGAACACACGCCTAAAATATCGTGTAGCCTCTGCTCGGCCTTGGTCTTCCACAGCCACAAATTCGAATGCTGAAAGTTTTAAAAAGATCACACCATGCCTTCCGCGTCTGTTGAGTTGCCACTAAGAGAATTTTTCATTGAGTCTTGAAACTCTAGATAATACTTTCACAAGATTAAGGTGAGATTCAGCTCAGGACGTGAGGAGTACTTACGGAATGTCTTAACCACTATAAAAACCGCTTTGACGTCCTTCCTGGACGTTCAAATTCATAAGATAATTCCCAAGAGTGAAACATAGAACTCAAATACAGGGACAGTAATGAGAGTACTTAGGACAGTGTGGTTCACCCCCCTAAATACGAAGCAAGAGATAGTGTTAGTTGACAAAAGCCATTTGGATGTGATCCAAACTCAGGGCATGAAGATTACTAGGTGAGTGTCTCAACCTCTTAACCACTGCGTTGGCCTCTTTGCCTGGCGTTCAAAATTCATAAAATAAAAAATTGAGAGTGAAACATAGAGCACAAATCAAGGGTAAAAAATGAGTGTACTATCAACAGTGTCGTTCATTACCAAATATAACGCTAGGGATAGTGTTACTTCACCTCAAAACAGAATATTTATTCTCAAATGGGGATGATTCGGTGTCATATTCTTGTCGTTTTATGAAGACAGATTCCAAATCCAATGCGTGTTTTGTTTTTTGTCTTGATGCTCTATATCGTTTCGGATTTACTTTGTGTCGATGGATTCTAACATTATTTGTCTTTGTCTTTTACGTTTTTAAAATTTTTTATTTATCTAATCTTTATGTGTTCGTTTGTGTCGTTGACTTCTACAGGGTATAGATTTTTATTTTGATGTGTTCCTTCTCCTTTTCGTGTCGGTTTCAGTGTCGTTGCGTGCCTCACCTTGGTCACCAATTATAGAAATGTTTAGCGTACGTCAGGACGGATTTCGTCGCAGCGTCACATCTTGCTGTAATCTCATTGATCATCACTGAGACTGAGAGTGATATATAAAGAATGGGGAACGAGTGGGCCCCGCTTTTTCTAATCAGAGACGGCGAACTGTAGCAGTACCGGAAAAACACAAGTTGTGTTTTTAGAAAAAAATATTTTGAGGATAAATTTAGCTCTCTACTAGACGACAAATTAGATCCTGCACCCCTTAGCAACAAGAACACGCAGGAAAGGGAATTTAGTTCCAGGTAAGAAGAGAAAGAAGTTTCGGCTCCTTCACTGAGATTCGATCCTTCATTCTTCGCGAATGTTGTGAAATTGGTTGAAATTATTTTTTTTAAAAATGTTTCGATCATTGATTTGTTTCAGTTTTTTCTGGAAACACTGATGTTAAATTTAATTTCTATTAAAACTAGAACACTGTAACTTTTTATGATTAGGTAGAAATTTAGTTATTGCAACCGTTAAAACATTTTCCTCTCTGGCTTTTACGGGCTTGAGACCGTCATACCGAAATGGGCTGCATTAAACATTTTGTTTTGACTTTCCAAAGTCTTTCCCAGAGGGACCCAAGACCTCTGGGGGAAACGAGGGAAGAGGGAATGGATCTGAGAAATATTAACAAAGGACTCGATTTCTATTCAAGACTGTTGGTATTTCTTTCATCGGAAAATAGACAGATGAGTTAAAAAAACAAAAACTATGCTTTAAGATAATACCATTAATTTCATTCGTGCGAAAATTGACGAGCGCCTGATTCCCCGCGTCGTGACACAATTTTTGTAGCAAAGATCTGTATCAAATGTGCGTCAGTGCCCAAAACTAATCTGAAACAATTCCTGCAGTTCATGCTGAGCTGTACATGTGTCTTTCATGGGCCATGCATTATACCCATAGCTCAGAAATGATATAGTGCTGCTGTGAGACATAAGGGAAAAGTCGTTAGTAGTCAAACTATTTATTCATTATGTAGAACTTGCCTTTGTAATCAATATAATTATTATCTATTCCCCATACCTTTTTTCGCTTTATTTTATAATCCACAGAGTAACCAAACCACAAAGGAAAATGCGGGTCATTACTTTCAAGAGCAGCTTCAAGCCTTATCTTATCTTTGTATTCGGTCTAATTTCGTTCTGGTATCTACTCAAAAACTCCTTCCCTCTTGATCAGGAGTTAAAATATCTCAAGGAGCGCGAACTGAGCAGGCACTTTGAGGCATCCCAATCATGCAGCTACCATGAACTTGCGGGCAACACCACTAACTTAAAACTGTTTTCAAACGTGACTTTTACTTCTCGGGATGATAGCTCACAAGTTGTTGAAGAGTGCACAGGCAAGGAGGACCCCGAAAACCTTTTCTTGTACAAAGGAATTAAGTACGAGACACCCGTGCGTTATAGTAGACGTTCTTACAGTGACGCAGCAGCTCAGCCAGACTCGAGCTTCCCGCCTCTACGACCAGGGGACGTTCCTGAAACTGTGCATTATATATGGTGCGGAAAGAAACAGTTCCGATTCGAGAACTATCTGAGCGTTCTGAGTGCCGTAAAATTTGTGCAGCCACACAAGTTTATTTTCCACTTTTACGATCTTCCTGACTTTGATGAAAAATGGTGAGTAGCGTCTACAGAGATGGGAAATGGCAATAGGCATTTTAAAAATCCTTTTGAAGTTCACGTGCTTTCTAATAGAACATTAGTTATTGCAAAAACCGCAGTTTTATCATCAACCAGAAACTGGACCGGCGTCTATGGTGTAGTGGTTGGGCGCTTTGCTATTGCGTGCAGGAGACAAATTTCGATTTCTGAGTGGTGAGAACCCTTTTAACGAGTGTGTTGGTCTTTCTGCTGGGATGTTGTATCCTACTCAGTCCAGGTTGGTCCTGGCAAGCAGAAAATAAATTTTGCTTCCTGGATTATCTAAATAGAGTCGATGGGGGAGTAAAAACACCTATATCAAAATAATTCAAAGGGGGCGGGGGCGTGAAAAACTTCACAGAATACATATATCTTGATGGTTCACATTTGGATTATTTACTGGCACCACTCCTGCCACCCTACCCACAGGGAGAGTTCTCTCAATCCTCCTCAAATGTTACATTTTATGTTAGATATTATATTCAATATTGTATCCTTGTAATTTTCTTGTAATATCATAACCGCTATCATCATCACTGCCCTTTTCACCCTACCTCAGGGTATAAACCATCTAGCTTATTGACATCATTCCCACTTTTATGTTCCACATTCTCTGTAACTCTTCTCCAGGTTCCATGTTGCCTTCCCCTTGCTTTGTACTATATAGGTAACGTAAATTCTTTTATTCCCAAGTTGCACTCGTCTCCTATTGTTTGAAGGTATTATTTGGTTACAGCTATGTCCTTTATAAGACAGTGTATGCTTTTTTTTTCAAGAAGTAAATCCAATGACCCAAATTCATGTTAAATGAAATCGTGTATGTTCCAATCAGCTACGAATACTACCGGAACGAAATTCTGCTCAGATTCTGTGGATAAAAAATTTACGAGACAAGTGGTCAAACCACAACGCCCCCAATGTGTCTGTCTTGTGCTCTGTGTCTGCCAACGTTATAATTAATATCTTTTTAGGGGCGCATGTCCAAAGATAGAAAACTGTTTTAATATTAGCATGACCATACAAACATTTTCGTACATTATGCTTTAATTACTGAATGTCTTAAAAAAAAAAAGTCGGGTAGATGTAGATTTTAGTTGCTTTTACTTTTTAAATTTGCGCTTTGATTTAGCTAAAATGCCATCTCTTTTCAATCTTACTTTAGAACTAATGTCTTAATTATGTATTATTGAAATTGGACAATCTAAACAGACGATATAGCATAAAACACGAGACACTGTCCAAAATGGGACTTTACATGGCTTTATGGTGTATTAAGCTTTCAATTTATATGGCAGTATAATACAAATGCATTGTACTTTCTCCTTGCTCACAGGTACCATACCTGGTTCATCGAGCTGAAGCAATCCTTGCCGAGCCTGGAGCTGAAAAAGTCTGACCAACCTCTTCCTTGTGAGGGGAACTCATCTCTTGTCCTGGCCCTGGAACAACTCGCCATTGCTGAGGAAGGCGGTATTTACATCGGCGAGAACACAATACTCACTCACCTTCCTAGCGAGTGGAAAGACTCATCAGTGGCTTCACATTTACTAGAGACTAGTCAGCCGAACAGCCCAAATCTAGGGGTACTTATGGCGAAACCAGGAGTCACACTAGAGCAGCTGAAGACGAAAACATCCGAGAGTTCTAATAAAATTGCTACATGTAAGACTATTGATGAGTTCAACCAAGGTTTGAATGCATCTTCATCATCTGCATCGTCGACCTCTGGGAATGCAGCCCCCTGCGTGGTGGTTAGTTCCCCTATCTTTCCCCGGGACGTGGTCAACTCTCTCGAGCCGTTCGCCGCTTTGGCCAGGTGTCTGTACTACGGCAATGCGTCCATAGCGGTCGCTAAGCAAGACATAAACCAGGTCATACCTCGGATCGGTCACTTGATCTACTTCCATAAAAATGCTGAGTCGCAGTGGCCGTTCTATGCCTATCTGAGCGCTTTGTCCGCTCTGTACATCGCGGGCATTGAGCGATTGTTTATTTATGGAGACAAGGAACCGAGTGGAGAATGGTGGGACCGGCTACAGGGCGAGAATATCACCTTTATCCCAGTGAGTTTGGAACAAGTGCGAAATTGTAAAGGTTTAACGCCTTTTTCAACACTATAAAGTTAGTTAAGAGACGAGATCTCCGAATTCAGAGTCCATCCAGGATAGAACAAAGTCAAAAGGGTGGAGAGCCTTAAAACTCCCCAAAACATTACAGATTTAGAACGCCCTGTTGTAGATTCGAACCAGGACCATCCGCTACGTAGGCCAGTATGATACTAACTGAGCTAACGTGGGCCACCATTGATTTTGGGTAGCATTTACTATTGTTGGGAAAACAGCAACTTGAAAGGTGTGGTTTTGGGTGTGTATGTGTGTGCGTGGTGGTGGGTGTGTATGTGTGTGCGTGGTGGTGGGTGTGTATGTGTGTGCGTGGTGGTGGGTGGGGTGTGTGGTGGGGGGTGGGGGGGGTGATGAAGACTTCAGGTGTCGTCGAGGGAAATGGGGATGTGGCTTCTGTTTTTGTTCATAGAGATACAACCCGGGAACACTTTATTTGTTTATGGCCTGCGAATCCTGTGGTATGTCTGTTTACCCCCATCCTCCTATTCCCCCTCACCCCACAACATTTTTAATGCTGCTTATTTTGCTTGAGTTTTGTTTGTTTTGTCATGTTGGCTGTTTGTTTGTTTGTTCATTCGTTTATTTGTGTCTTTATTTAATTGTTTACCTGATTTTTTGTAACAAACACATTCACATTAAAGAAAAAAGGAGGGTGAAGCAGGGGTATGTGGGATATCTTAGTGTGTGTGTGTGTGTTGAGGGGGGGGGGGAAGAAGGGGGTTTGGGAGCTATATTTCTAGTAAGATAAAAAGGCACAAGAGATAATGTAATAACGAACATTAAGGAATTTATCTTGCTTTCGATCTCATTGTCTAAACAACAGTTGTCCCCCTCTCGTCCTTGTTTTGTTTACAACTTAAACTGCCACTTCGTTTAAATGAATCAATATTGAAATTGAGACTACATTAAGGTTAAACATATTCGTCTGAAATTAAAATCTTTTTACTTTATCTATTTTGGATACATAAATACGGAAACGAAACGAAATGATACGGAAGTGATACCGAATCGATATCGAAACAACGCTGTTTCAACTGCTCACACTATAATCGCTTTCATTAATGTCTTGATACGAAGGGAGCATCAGACCAGTGTCCGTGGTGTAGTGATTAGGCTGTTTGCCGCAGCACGCAGAATACGCGAGCTTGATTCTCTAGTAGTAGGGAGGCTGTTTATTGAGAATATCTCCATCATTCTGCTTCTTGGTTGTTGTATTCCTCTCAGCGTGGTTTGACCGTGCAGGCTGCTCACCACATAAATCATCTAATTAAAACCAATTAAAAATGATTTAGTATAGAGGTGTTTCTATCCTCACAATTTAGACCGTTTAAGAGGTGGGCTTCAGCCCTGCTTTTGAAGGCTACGCAGAGCTGAATGGGATACAGCGTTCCAGCAAAAAGATATGGTAACTCGACAAAGATTCTCCTCCCCACAAGGATTGAAATAAGATCTTCTGCTGCGCCGGCAAAGCACCCCTCTACACCACAGTCGCCGCAATAAAGACGATGGGGGAGTAAACCATTTACAATAAAAACATTAGTAAAAGAACATGAAACTTATAAGTCTCCTTGCGTCAAAGTTGCAATTGTCTGTATTATATAGAAAGAAAGCAAACACAAATAAAAATAGCGACACTAACAAAGAACACCCCCCCAAAAAAAACCCCCCAAAACAAACAACAACAACAAAACCCCCCCAGCAAAATACCCTCAATCAACAACAAGAGCAAGAAACAAACAAAAACAAAAACAAAAATAGCTCTTAAACAAACCCCTCCCAAAAAACAAACAAAGAACAAACAACAACAGCCCCCCCTCCCCCACAAGAAACAGCAACAACCCATAAACAAAACAATCAAGGATCTAAGTAAAGCACACCACTTTGATATTTAACTGGACAGAAATTATTTATGGTACGCTTGCATGTTTACACAGCTCAATTTTGCCTAACATGCCCTGCTTTTATTTGGATTATTCGGCGATATTTGACAGTATTAAGCTTAGGATGGAAGGCCTAAGGAAGGAGGAAGAGAGCTTATTGACTTTCGGATTATTTACCCTATCCCATCCACTCTCTCATCTCCCACAACCACATTCTTTCTAGCCATCTATTTCTCCGGAGATACCCCAAACCCTTAACTCCTTGCCATGCTGCCCTGTTGAAAATACCCATAAAAATAGTGCAAATTAAGTCAGTATGTGAACATAGTATATAGGCACGGTTCAGTTTGCGTTAGGGAAAGCTTACAGAATACGCTATAAATTGTCATATTAACATGATGATATGTACAACAACAACAACAACAACAACAACAACAACGAGAACAAAAATATGGTATCAGTTCGACATATCCTTAAACTTTGCAACCAAATACCTTGCTTGAAAGTAAAAATTGTGTATAAGACATGCAACTCCTTCGCAGAAGAGCACTATTTACAGTCCGATGTCACAGTTGGTTCTGAACAGAAGGTTGTATTTCTTCCATTTCATAGATTGAAGAGTGCGTCTTTTTATAAAAGCAATCTTAAAAGGTTTAAGGCGATGTTGTTGTAAAACCATTATTGGCCATCATTCTTAAAACACATGTTACGGGGAAATTCCACACTGATGAGGCAGCTGTCGGGGAAAACCCCCCCACTACATCCATTTTAAAACAATTTTCAATGCACAGTCTTAAGTTCTCTTGGTTAATGAACTGTAAATTTCGAGATGGAATTTACTCCTGTTGTGAATAACAAAAACGTTGTGGTGCGACACAAAACTACGACTCTATCATCAATATGGGCTTTAACAGGGAGCCAACATAGATATAAAACAAAGCATGTTGTGCGTCCGTCTACAGGTCTGTTGAGAACAACACTCGCAGCTTGGTTCAGGAGTCTTTGCAGTTTATTAATTATAGTGAATCGCGATAGCCTATATTATGAGATAATACATATGATGACATCAGTGTCACACGCAAGGTAACATTTACGAAAAAGGTGCCACTTTTGTAATTTTTGTATCTCTGAATAATAAATGGCAGTCATATATTAGATTTTTGGACTTGTTGGTGCACAGACAATTTGTTGTCAAACGTAGACCCTAAATAGCAAGAGTAGCGTTTTGCCCTTCATTTGGCATCCACAGTGCACACTATTGTAAGCATAGTTTTTGTAAAAGGCAAACAGCGTGGGCCATCAGTATGCGGTTTAGGAAATAAAACAAGTCTTAGATAAGAGCAGAAACTGCTGTTCTTTAAACAACAACAACAACAAATACAATAACAACAACAGCAGCAGCAACAACAACAATATTTTAAAAAGAAAGAAAACGACATGTTTTTCTCAGTATAGGTGGCGCCATTCACAAAAACGAGCGTCGATTTTTTAGGACACTTTCTTAAAGAGTGTACCATCTTCCAGACAGTGTACTATGAAGTTTGACATGATTGTACCCTTTTTCTGTCTGCAGATAGAACAAGTACACACAGTATTCCAGCAGCCTGTAAGAGACATTCACCACAAGACAGACATTTTGCGATATTTCATTCTCTGGAAATATGGTGGGGTCTACATGGTAAGGACATTTAAACACAATATATTGATTTTTCGTTCTGTTTTCCCTTTGAGGAAAGGCTTTCACCTGTTCATTTTATTATTAATTTTTTTGGCCGACCAGTTCATTTGAATACAACTCTTTATCCACCCCCCCCCCCTCAAAAAATACTTGAAAAATATGTTCAAATACCTTAACCCTTCCAAAAATAAAAATGAGATATAATAATTTTTAACAAGTTCTGATTTCCGAAAAAAATGCCGACATGGGCCTTTTAGCCAGGCACACACGCACGCACGCACACACGCACGCACGCACACACGCACGCACGCACACACGCACGCACGCACGCACACACACCCACCCATCCACCCACCCCCCCCCCCCCCCACACACACACACATACATACATACACACAAACACACAAACATACACGTACACATAAACAAACACGTATATTTCATTATGATGTTACATTCCTATGACTCCTTGTTGAACCGTTGCACTGACTGTTTAGAAATAATAATATTATGGCTCAAGGCTTTGAAAATAAATTCTTCTTTTTGACGTACTCAGGATTATGACATCATCTGGGCTAATCCCATACCGTCTGAGCACTGGTATTACCCGACTGTAGCTGGGGTCGACTGGCCTAAGATGGGCGACTGGCCCGAATACTTCAACATGGGCGCACTCCTCAGTAAACCAGGAGCCGTTTATATGAAGCACGTAATCAACTCGTTTAGGTAAGTTTCTTAACCCTATCAGTTCGTCGTGCTTTACTCTCGTAATCATACGACGTAGGGAACTCTGTGCCCCCCCTTTTCAAAGAGGAAATTTACTCGTTAATCTGATCCTTACGCTTTGCATAGCAGTCTGTCAAAATGATTTTTTGAGAAATACTGAAAGTTTCAAAGAGATGTTTGTACTAGAAGTATTCTAAAGTGTGAAGAATACAGCCTTGTGGGTACAAAATGACCCCAGGGGGTACGGAGAAAAGGAAACGGTAATGTCAGATTAGGCTCGAAGGCAAGTGGGCGGACAGTTACGTGGGTTGGCAGATAGGCTGGCGGGTAGGTTGTTAGATAAGTATGTAGTTATTTAGTATGAATGTCTTTATATTATCTCAATGTATCCAAAACGATTCTGATAAGTACTAGATAAGCATATCATATTAGGATGAAACACTTCAATGCATTCAAAACGAGGTCCATTAATAAGTAAGTATGTGTCTGTGCACCATCTCAACACACTCAAAAAGTTTTACTCGTCCCCAGATATTATCTTGACAACAACTGGGGCTTCAACGCGCTTATGCTGCCGTACCGAGCGTATGAGCAGTTCCCAGAAAGTGTCTTCATTGACCACAGGCTACAGGCAAGTCTACAGTGGAGGTTTCCACAGACTATATCACATAAAACCCTCTTACCAGGAAACTGAATAAAAGAGAGATTTAGAGAAAGCGACCCAGTGGTAACTTTAGTGATTTATTGCTGACTCCCCAAATTTGATGAACTTTAATTTTCGGTGTAATCTTTCGACAAGAAAGTTGACCTAATTGCCATTTATTGAATACAACTTTCTTACACTTGGCTAATTGATTTTGGTTAAACATTTGGAAAACACGATGACTGCTGCAGATTGCAGCTTAATTAATGTTTTATTGTTATCTAGATGTTTTTGTCGTCTTCGGCTTTGACCAATCTATCAACGATTTGGTTGTTATATTATTCCTTGCTGAAGTCACCGTCTCTTAGTTGAAGAGTCATGGGGGGAAGTGACAGATTCATATTTATTTATTTATTTATTTCAGAAGATGTGATGAATAAAAAATCCACCAAAAGAATATACCAGACTAGTACGTTTATCACCAGGTGATCTGTTTTATGCTGACTTGTCATCCTGCTTGGCACAAGGAGTACCAGAGACCACTAGACAGCAAGATTCCAACGGACCCCTTCGATCTGTCTGAATTTTCAGGTAACTTCATTGCATGTTTTAGTTCAAGGCCATGTTAGACATTATTTATGTCATTCATATTAAGGTGATAAACTTTTGATGATGGGACTTGACTCATCTTCTTGAGCTGGGGAGGGGATTGGGGACGTTAAACCAATTAAGACAGATCTACCAATTTATTCTTTCAGCTTTTCATTTTACCTGGCCGAACACCCCAAGGACGCTAGAAACATTTGCTGCGATCAAATCGGGAAAAGACATGTTTGCCGAGCTTGGACGGAAGATCCTAGAGAAAAGTGGCAGGATCCATGAGCTGGATAAAGTGTGATACCAGAAGTACAGTTCGACTTTCTTGTTTCTCTTTCCTCGTATTCATTTGTTAACCAGCGTTGTTCTAATTTATTTCGCCCTTGTGGGCTGTTGTCGTGGTGTTGTTATCATTTCTTATAAATAATGATTGTAAAGCGCATGATGTTGAGCATGGGTATGTGCTATTTAAAAGCAGTTACTGTTATTATTATTATTATTATTATTATTATTTATTATTATTATTATTATTATTATTATTATTATTATTATTATTATTATTATTATTATTATTATTATTATCATTATTATTATTGTTATTATCATCATCATCATCATCATCATCATCATCATCATCATCATCATCATCATCATCATTATCATTATTATTATTATTATTATTATTATTATTATTATTATTATTATTTCCATCATCATTGAGTTCTTTTTCTAATTTGTTATAACCTATGATGTTGATATTATCCTATTATCGTTTGTGATGTTGAAGAAAGGGTTCTTGGTCTCCCTGACAGAACGTATGACCTGGAACAAAATGTGATTCATCGTGGTGAAATTGTGTGCTCGCCAGAACAATGAAATCAACGAAACCGGCATTATTTTTATCTAATTTATTGTTGGGACTAAACATCTTAATATCCACTTAAAATCAAATACTTAAAAAAAAAGTAAATTTGCAGTTTTCACGGACATTCAACCTTTGGCGTGTCACCAAACCTTGGCTGCTATTTCACTGCTAATTTTGTTTTTGCATGACACAAAGCAACCTTATTTTCGCGTAGTCACAAATGTCTTGACTTCTTTTGAGATAGATTAGTATTCATTTTTAAAATTGGTCGCTTTTAAGAACAAACGGGCTGACCCAGATTTCGGCGGTCTCCAGAAAGTTTGACCTACACCAAAAGTGGGCATTGCCCTACCTATAGGAGAAGTTTGGTTTGATTGGTATGGATATTTGTTTGGTTATAGAGAAAACTCTCCTTGCCTTTTAAAGAAACTGAACAAGGGGTAAAAACATTACCTTCGATTTTCTCAAAACAGCCTTTTTCGCTTAAAAGCGACCAATTAGAAGCAAGACAAACAACACCCTATAAGTCAATAATGCCAATGACTTAATTTGTCCCTAAAACTGACGACCGTCTAATTACACGGTTTCGTGACTTAAATAGCATCGAATGAGCCCCATACTCATGACTCTCTTATATTGGCCAAATTCCCAACCCACTTCGCCATATAACAGACCAGTATCAACCTTTCTCATTTCTCAATCGTCGTTATGTAACGTGTGGCGCCCCCCCCATCCCCCCACACAAACGTAGTTGATCTTTTTGTATATAAATCCGTACACGCACGCACGCGCATGTGAGTGAGTGTATGTGTGTGTGTGTGTGTGTGTGTGTGT